AATTTGTTCTGTTTGTGGGATGCATGTGGTTTAATATTTCACTACAACTGAAGGATAAGTTGTGAAGCTGGTTACTTTGAACCTGGTGTTTATTTTTTGTTTTTTGTTCCTAGTATATGATATTTGGACATTTAAAATGGAATATATTTGCCACCAGCAAGCCCATTCTTGAAGAAAGAAGAAATGTCTCCATTTATTATTATTATTATTATTATTATTATTATTATTATTATGTTGTTGTTGTTGTTGTTGTTGTTGTTGTTGTTATATACCAGTGGTGGCGAACCTATGGCACAGGTGCCAGAGGCGGCACTCAGAGCCCTCTCTGTGGGCACGCATGCTGTCGTCCCAGCTCCGCCACCCCTGTGGCCCCCTCCTCACCAGCAGCCCCCCTGGAGGAGAGTCATCCTGGGGGCAGCCTCAGTGGAGCAGCTCAGCCAAGGACATGGCAGCCGGGCAGCAGGGACAAGACTCCACCCTCACGCCCCATCGCGTACAGATGATGCTGCGGGGCGCGGACAGAGGGCATGGCCGCCATGACGCTGCTGGGCCGTCTGGGCGATCTGCTGTGGCGGGCCGTGGAGGTGGTGGGTGGCCCTGCGGGTAGGAGGGGCGAGGCAGTTTTTGGGCACTCGGTCTCTAAAAGGTTCGCCATCACTGTTATATACAAACCAATGGGGCTCTGAGTCAGCAGGAGTGATATGAAGATCAATAAAAATCTATTTCTTAATATCTGTAACAGAAAAACATAATTTCAGGAGGAAGGTTAATCCATAATTTCTACTTTTTGCAGTGTATCACCTTTCCTATAGATCAGGGGCCATGCAAGCGGTGGGCAAATGGGTGACGCTTCATCTGCTCACATGCAGGATCTAATCACTTCACAACCAACTCTGAAGCCCATCCTTCAGAAATGCAGTCATAACAGTAACTACGTTTGTTCCTGTTTTGGGGCAATATATCAAAGTTAGATATTTTTATAAACTCAAAGAGGATACAAGGACAGCATTTAAAATATGAAAATAAATG